GGAGACACTCAGGGGATGAGTGGGTATCTAAACTTCACTGATGAAGTGAACAATTACACAAAAGGGGATGTTGCTACCAGAGGGATGACAAGATTAGGGATGAGACAGGCAGGGGAAGGCTGCAGGGAGTTGGATGCTGTAAGCCAGGGGGTAGGTGGAGGATTCTGGGCTGTCTGTTCTACTGGGACCAGGTATAGCCTTCAGAAGAGGAGGCAGTGAAGAGCAAGTCAGCAGGTCAGGATCCAGAGATAGACAGGAGGCTTTAAGGCCCAGGGGAACAGCTCTATGATGTGGGAAATTGCTGGGTCTGGATTCATGTGCTGGTACCTGGGCACGGTCAGGTCTCTAGGATCCTGGGGCTAGGATTAGGAGGATCCTGGGCAAATGAAACCCACAGACAATTCCCAAATTGTGTTTGATACTCACTTTCACCTTTCTTCATTTTATTTACTTTTTCTACATTGGCCACAAAATCCTTCATTTTATTGCACAGAGTCATTGTGGGTAGTGAGAATAGAAATTGATTAAGATATGGAAAGTCTTCTAGCTAAATGTGGGCTTCAGATAAATTCAGACTAGAAGATGAGTCACAACCTTGTCACTTAGGAACAATGTGATCTCAGGAAAATTGCAAAGTGCTATGAGCCTTAGTTTCTTCATTTGTGAAATGGGCTTGATAGGTAGTTATCTTGCCCATTGCCTCACGAATACATTGTGAAGTACAACTGTTGGAATAGGTGTTATGTAAAGAAACTGGCACAATACCTGCCTGATAATTGGCAGTAACTATTAGAGTTTTGACAACAGACCACCCATACTGCTCTGAGATACCCCCCCCACCAAAAAAAAAAAAGGAGATATTAGAGAATATGCAGCTTTCTAGACATGGCATAAGAAATCAGCCAAAATGCTCCTTAGCAAATGAAATTAAGTTACTTGCTAAATAACTTTTTGGAGATACCTTATTTGTTGAGAGTGTGGGGGAGTTTTCGCCAGCTGGATGCCCCTCAAAGATCCTAAAATTTGGGTCAAGGACTGCCTCCTTCTCACACTCCCCACTTCCATCTAAACCACTCTATATGCATTTATTTCATCTCCAGAAAAAAAAAAAAAAAAAAAACCTTGCTTACAGTTGGCTACATTATACTCAAGATAACCTTATTAAAATGTCCTTTTAATGGAGAGGGCTCTGCATCTCCCAGCCCAGAGAAAAAATCGCCACCCAGTGACTACTCAGCATCTGAAGTCAAGTGACCATCACACTTATTTCTTAGAATCTCCTTGGAGATGATGCCTCTAAAGCAGAAATGTTGTGCACTGTATTTAACTGAACTGAAACAATAGCCAAGGATACCTTACATTCTTGCCACAAGTGGAGAATTCTCTCTAGTTTTCCTTGTTCCCAAAGTAAGTGCTAAAAGCAAGTTCCCATTCTGTTTGAGAGGCTTTGATCTCTCAATCTGAGACATGCCATGTGAGGGTTTGATCCCTACTCACCAAGTCTACAACTCATCAGACCCACTACTTAATTTACATTAAAATTAACTCACACTAAACGTCTTGGAGTTTCCCAAGGCCTTCAAATCCTTTGCTTTGAAGTGTTTAAACATAACTGCTGTCATCTGGACCACCCCAATAACCTCATGTCTTATTTTTACATTTCCCTTAGGTCTTAGGGTGTATTTCATCATTTTCCTTATATGATTTACTGCTTCTAGACTCTACAATTCTGTGGGTAGGAGCTGGGTCTTGTTTATCCTAGCATTCCTGGTACTAGCCCAAAGTCTTCCAGGGAACAGATGCTCAATTAATGTTTGAGAAATAAATGAGTCAGTGTGCAAGAGACCTAATTTATTAGGATATAAGTTCTACATTCCTGAACCAGTTAAGCATATCCAGGTATAAATCTTTTAATTTTACATAAAAACAGACTAAAGTGATAAGGTTATATAAGTATTTATCATCTCTGACATCATCTCTATTTCTTGATCCTAACTATCTCACTCTTGAATTTTCTTGCATTTCTAAGGAAATGCCTTTTCCAAAAGCTTGTCTTGTTCCAAATGACTAAGTAAGATGGAACATTTCTTACTTTGTTTTACAAAATGGTACAACCCTTACATTTAAAACTCATAAACAACAATATATGTGTGACCACAATTATTCTTAATTTTAGATTCAGACAGAAAGTTTAATAAACCTATTAAAAGGTAGAACACTTGAAAAAAAATTCTCCATGTTATCACACAGAATAGGAACACAAAGATGGTAAACACTGTGTTGCCTCCTGCTCCAACCCCACCCTCCACTACTTAGAAACTGACTGCCCTCTTCAAACACAGGTGAAGACTCTTCCTCAGACATCACTTGGGGCAGGAGGAACTGCTGGATATAGCCTTGTAATGTGCATTTGCTGTAGCACTAATTCGAGCCCTGGCTTCAACTCTGGCTCGAGCTCTCTCTTCCTCATCCTCCACAGCCTCTTCATGACTGGGGAAGGCAGTTGGTGTGGTATCATGGATCTTGGCCAAAAACTCCAGGACTTTCATTTTGCTGGTTTCAGCATGGGCTCCGGGACCCCATAGGAACTTGTAACGTGGAGGATCACTGCTGGGCACCTGCTGGTACTCCAGGTACTTTTGCTTCACCAAATCTTGGGTGAGGAGCTTCTTAGGCTCCCCAAAGATGAAGTGATTCCTGCCAGCATGGTACATGATTCCCTTCGCATTCAGCACTTTCCAGACTTGCTCCTCAGTGGCACAATTGCCCTTCGTGAAAATCACACCCAAGACCGTCATCAGGAGGCCAGTTGTGGGCACTCCTATGTCTTCACTCAGCCTCCCATTGTAGCTAGGTTCCAGTTTGTTGATGAGGATGTAGGTGTGCCGGATGGGATCCACTTCCTTCAGGTCAAGGCCAAAGACCAACTCTAAGTGCTCAGAGGCTCTCCTGAGGATCACAGGGAATTGATTCTTGTATATTTGGATTATATTTCTCAGCATGTCAGCCTTTGTAATGGGCTCTTTCATCTGATACTTGCACAGCAGGTAATGTACCAGCATAACCACCTTCTGATCTAGGGGTCCTTTGTGCAAATGCTCAGTGGTGGACTGGGCCCTTCCAGAGCTTAGACTTTCCTCCCGTTGGTAGTTGGTAGCTTTTGTGGTTGAAACAGCAACTTCAGAATTGGTGATAGATGGAGCATTTTGAGGCCCCTGGGGAGTACTGAGTGTTCCAGAAGTAGGAGAACTCTGATTTGGACCTTTGAAACGCATAGAAGAGGAGGAGGTGGACTCTTTAGCTGTTACAGTGGCCTGAGCACCCTGCATATCCTGGGTTTCTTCTCGGGCCTGACGGCGTTTCTCTCAGGCACGGAGCTTACTCTTCTGACCCCGAGGCATGATGATCTGGTGAAGAACAGCAGGCAAGAATGTGGGGCAGGAAGGCAGGTGATGCAGGTGCTTGATAGAAGATGAGATGTATTGCGTACCTCTATGAGGGAGATAAAATCGTGGTTTTAAGGAATGGTGTCTCTGCTTTATCAAACCACAAGGCTGATTTTTGATCAACCTGCTCTCTGAGAACCATGTGGAAGTTATTACAGTATGCCTTAGGCTGAAACCAGCCATCCCTGCTTAGGGCTTACTGGGGCTGACAGCAAGCAATGACAGCTTGAGGCTTTTTGGAGCACCATCTGTTCTGGAATGGGGAATGTTTCTCTGTTTATATTCGGTGATAGCATCTTGACTTGTGGCAGGACCTGGGACCCTTCTGCTAAATTGCCTTGATGCTGACCCCTCATACCAAAGTTCTCTCTTTCCTGAGACTCTGGAGCTGGAGTGAAGGAGCACTTTTTCTAATCACACCTGCCCTGGGATACCCAGGAATTATAGCAATGAAAAACCTCTATGAGAAATTCTGTGTTCTGGGTTAATTAGGATTGTGAGTCCCTCTCAAGGTTGCCACTTTGGCTCTGATAGGGCCTGGGACTCATCCCTCTACTGAGCTGATACCATCAGAGCAAGGTGCACACATTCCTGAGACCCTTGAGGAGGAAGTTAGGGAGGCCTCAGCCTAACATAATCACCCTGAGGTTCCTCAGAGGAGATAGCATGGGTAAGGATCTCTGAAACACCTTCTGTTCTGGTATGGGTCTCTAAATCCTCACTCAGGTTCCTTACTTTGACTTCTGACAGAGCCTGGGACTCCTCATTCTGCTGACCTAAGACATATGCCCTCATTGGTGTTAGTTAAAACCGAGTCAAGTCTGCCTCATAGCACCTGAGACCAAGGTTTTTCACCTATAAGAAACCCTGAGTTGGAGTGAGGAGCTATCTCATCCTGCTATACTTGTGAAGCATCTCCCAGAGATAACAGTAGAGTCACATGTATTATTTTTATAGTGTCCTATTCCTTTTGAAGGGGCACTGGTGGTGTAGTGCCTAAGGCATTTGACTGCTAACCAGAAGGCTAGCGGTTCAAACCCACCAGCCACTCCTCAGAAGGAAGGTTGGGCAATCTACTTCTGTAGTGATACCACCTCAGAAACCCAAGGAGGGGTCACTATGAGTCAGGACTGGCTCCATGACAGTGAGTTTGGTTTGTTTATTCCTTTTGGGGTGATTCTTTCAGTTTTCAAATTCTTCACCTAGACTTCACCTTGTCTGCCTGAATCCTCTTCCATGAAGTGAAGGGGTGTCTCAGTTTGACAGCTCTGAATCAAGTCTCCAGAGCTGAAAGGAGGGACAGGGCTATGTGGGGTCCTGCCTGTTCTTGGGTTTAGGGTACTTTCCATTCTCTGGTTCCTCATCATGGCTCTTCAAACTGAAGACTGAGGACTATACCTATCAGACTGAAATTGTCATCTCCCTGATATACCCGAGGTGGCAGTCAAGGAGAACTCATACTGACAGGTCTTCCCAGAGCCTCTCAACCTGATAACAGAAGTGGGGCTCAACTCTGTACATTTGCCTTTATTTTGATGCAGGTAGTTCCCGAGTCTTCAGTCAGAGTCCTCTCATGGACTACTGGAAGTGCCTATAACTCCTACCTCTAATGACCAGAATGCCTCTCTCAGACCAAGACCTGTATTTCCATGACATTCTCATCCCAGGGCAAAGTGAGAGTTTGCCTCAGTCTCACAGCACCACCCAGGGTCTCTTTCAGGGCTGACAACATGGTTAGAACTTTGTGTAATCTCTTGTGATCTGGGGTGGGTGGTCCCCTCAGACCTCATTCAGGGTCTTTATTTTTCTGTTAGTTCCTTGAACTCCTCTCTGCTGGCTTGATGTGGACATACTAATTCAATGGTGTCACCTCCCTAAGTCTCCACAGGGAGAATTTAGAATTCACTACATCAAGCAATCCTCACCTGGGGCATGCCAGACCTGATAGCAGGACTGACACTCTGTGGGGTCCCCTATTTCTAAGATAGGAGATACCCTCAAACTTCACTTACGGTCTAGAACTCCTTCCTCTCCTGCCTTCCTCTATGACTTTTACTTCTCTGAGCCACCAGAGGGGCAATTCAGGAGGTGTCATATCCCACCATGTCTGCCTGGGGTATCCCTGGGCTAACAGCAAGGACAGGCTCTGTACTGCTCTTCTCTCTTTAGGGGTAGGTGGTTCCCTCAGAGCTCACTCAGGGTCCTCACCTTTACCTCTGTTAGGGTCTGGGACTCTGCCCTCTGGTTGTCTAAGTCAGACACTCTGATCCAAAGATATAACCTCTCTGGTGGCCTAGTGCCTAAGGCATTTGACTGCTAACCAGAAGGCTGGAGGTTCAAACTCACCAGCCTGTCCTTGGAAGGAAGACTGGGCAATCTACTTCTGTAGAGACACTGCCTCAGAAACCCGAGGAGGGGTTGATCTGAGTCAGAGTTGACACATTGACAAGATGGCAAGGTTTTTTTTTTTTTTTTTTTGAGTCCCCAAAGAATAAATTCGGAGGATTGCTGTCGAGTCTGTTTCAACTCAGAGCGACCATATAGTGACCCTACAGCAGGCAATTCCTGCTCAGTGCCTGCCATGGCTGACAGCAGGAATGAGACTCTACTGGGCTCCCTATCGCTAGAGTAGAGAACATCTTCACACCACGCAAAGGAGTGTTACTTCCTGGCACGATGTGGAACTCCTCCCTGACACCTAGAACTTAACTTTCCCAAGAGGCAGAGGTGAAAGTCTGGGTGCATAACATCCGACCACTCCCATATGGTGCGTGTCAGTCTAGATAGCAGGGGTGGGGCTATATGTGATGGATCCCCTCTCTTGGGGTAGATGGTTCCTTCAGAATTCACTCAGGGTACTAACTCTCACTGATGGAAGATCCTAGGACTCCTCCCTCTGCTAGCCAAGGCTAACACCCCAATGCTGTCACTTCCTTGAATGTCCAGAGGATGAATTTAGAGCACTACATCAGGAAATCCTTGCCCAGGGCCTTCCAGTGTTTACAGCAATGCTAACAAAAACAAACACAGTGCACTACCATGGAGTCAGATCTGACTCACAGCGACCCCTCCTTGGTTTTGTGAGGCAGTATCTCTATGAAAGTAGATTGTCCAAACTTCCCTCCAAAGAATGGCTGGTGGGTTTGAAGCCCGCCAGCCTTCTAGTTAGCAGTCAAATGCCTTAGGCACTACGCCACCAGAATTTAGGATTCTAAAAATCTTCTCTGGTGTAAGGAGTACCCTAAAACCTCCCTCAGGGTCCTCACCTTCATTGCAGGCAGGGCCTGAAACTCCTCCTTCTGCTGACCTGATACTGCACCTCTCAGACTAATGCATAACTTCTCTGTGATGTCAGAGGCAGCAATTAGTGTAAGTCATTTCAGGCTATCCCTGCTAGGGAGGAGCTTCCCAGGGCTTCCTGGCAGTAGGGGCGGGGCCAACCTCTGTACAGGCAGCTGGTAGACAATTCATATAGAAGTTTTTTAATTGACTCCGGGCAGGGCCTGTGACTTCTACCTGGAGTCAGTCAGCCTTAAACCAAGACTATCACCCCAACTCCCCCTAACTCTTCTACTCCCCCACTCCCAGTCAGGAGAGGATGACGAGAAAGGGCATCGGGAGTAACATCCAGGCCATTACCTCCAAGTGTTGAGAGTAAGGGCAGAGGTCTGTGTGCCTTCTTCTGTTCTGGAGCTGACAGCTCCCTCAGACCTTGGTCAGCTGCTCACCTTTTACTTCTCTTAGGGCCTAGGACCTCTCCATCTGCTGCCTTGTGGCTGATGCCTGGTCCAATAAGGTGATTATATGATAACTTTGGGTATGGTTAGAATAGAATATTTTTCCCCCATTAATTGTCTATTGAAACCAGGCAGAATTATTTAAATGATAAAGATAGACCTTTGGGCTCTACATATCCCCTTTACTCTTAGTCAACAAGGAACTGCACTATCTCCAGTGGTTCCACTGACTCTGTAAATATTTGCGAAATGAGCCAGCTCTCTCTTCCATTCAATGTATAGTGGCAACATAGGCCACTACAGGATATCCATCCTCTGGCATACAAAGAACAGGCAGAGGACATGAGCTCTCTGGTGTGCAAATAAATAAGGAACCATGAGAGGCAGTCTGAACTAGGTATGCAATCTTTATCATTTTCAAGACAAATCCACACTCAATTCTTTATAGGAAATTAGTGTCAGGGAATCTTCCCTGCAAATTGCCCTTATTTGCAGCTGCATGTGCTCTTCCTCAGCTCATTAGTACTCTTTGCCTTGTTTCAATCATCATCACTCACCAATCTCATCATTATCATAGCTCCAATTTCAGTGGATGGGGCCACTGTACACAGGGGAAGAAACACATGTCTCCAGCAGGCATCAAGACAGCTCTCAGCCTTATATGCTGGCAAGGATGCACCGAACCACCAGAGTAGTTAAGAGATGTAGCTCTCCCAGAATCCATCAATGTTATAACTAGATGGCTGTAGGGAGATGACAGGGGAGGAGTGTTAGCTATGTTCTGCCTAACAGAAGGTATGGGAGAGAGGAGTATCAGGCATGCCTGTGGGCCTTTCATCTAATAGATCAGCCCACTCAGATCACCCTACAACTTTAGGCTGGTAATGAGGATTGAGAAATTCACAAAGCTCGTTCATGTAGTTTGTACAGAACCTACCAATCGACTCTCCACCTTCTCTCCTTCTGATCCTTTCGACACCCTATGCTGAACTCTGGATTCAGAACCCTGACTGCAGCCTGTCCTGGACTCTTTAGACTTTGTTTTGCAGATAATCTTTCTCATCAACTCTGGATGTGGCCCTCCCCCAGGTTTTCCCGATGCTGTTCACTAGGGTGTCCCATGTCAACATATTCCCGGGCTCCTGGTCCTTCAGACTAAATCCTTGATTTTCAAAGTGAAAGGAAATGACATACTGAGATTTGAAAGATCTGAAGCAT